AAATATTTTACTTGAAACTTTTTATGAATCAACTCAGACCTACGTACGAACAACCCAAGATATGGACAACCCTACTGATTACTTGGCAAAAGTTTAGGTGATAGTCTTTAAAAATTACAACAAGGATTGTATTTCAGACAATAATGTGAAAGAAATTAACCATTTAGTTTACTTCACCCCCAGAAGGACCAAGCTATTGCCACAGGTTTTTGAAAAGTAAAAGGTATAGTGACAGAAGCCTTTCGCAATAGGTGCTGACGAAGTCAATGGCCCCTGTACCTCTATCATTACGTGTGGAACAGCTCCAGCCACACACACACCACCATTTGTTGGCAAACAGTTCCACAAGCAAAACATATGAGGCTCCACAGATCTGCACAGATCTGCCAGGCACACAGGGAGAATCTATTGTCTCGAAAACACATTGTTAGGGTCTCCAAGACAGTAAGTCAGGCCCGAGCATTGAAAACGCAGGTGTCTGTCTCAGTACACAGAGTCAAGACAGATATCTGGTGTCTGTCACGGTACACAGAGTCAAGACAGATATCTGGTGTCTGTCACGGTACACAGAGTTGAGACTGATATCTGGTGTCTGTCACGGTACACAGGGTCGAGACTGATATCTCGTGTCTGTCACAGTACACAGGGTCAAGACTGATATCTGGTGCTTGTCTCGGTTCACAGGGTCAAGTCAGATATCTGGTGTCTGTCACGGTACACAGAGTCAAGGCTGATATCTGGTGTCTGTCATGGTACACAGGGTCAAGACTGATATCTGGTGTCTGTCACGGTACACAGGGTCGAGACTGACATCTGGTGTCTACCCCAGTACACTAAGTGGAGACTTGTATCTGTGGTGTCTCTCATCATATACAGAGTCAAAACTAATACCTAGTTTCTTTCCAATACATGAAGTCTACTTCCAGTTTGTGTGGGTAGCCTGGAGTACAATGGTAGGAATGCCAAAACCCAGACATTTACTTTCAGAAAAAGAAGTAAGCTCTAACCATAAACTCTTTTATACAAAACCTTTCTATCTGCATAAAAAAATTTGCTGCATATGTTTAAATTGTGATATGTTTCTGAGATGATACATTTCTGGTAAATGATATTTGTGGTGAGCTTAATATTGCTGTGGAAATGATTTTTTTAACACACAATAAGACTTGGAAGAACTTATTGTTTAGCTCAAGAGAAGCGACAATAGATTTATACACTCCATCACTACAACTGGTAGCTCCAGTGTGTGTAGGGACCACTACTCTGGTTATGGGACTTGGCCTGGGTACATTGGGGTAAAGCACAAAGTGGGCATCCACACTCTCCTCACACAAAACCCATTCCCACCAATTACTGACCCCATAGAACAAAACAGAACCATGTGTTACACCGTTCTGTCATTACTTAATTGAAAAGCTGTCCTTTCCTTGACAATATCAGGTTCTGGCAATCCTCGACTTCAAAGGTTGGCTCTCATCACAACTTAAATGTTAACTACGGTCAAGTGCTACCTGTCTGTCCTCATCTCATACGGAAAATTACTGAATCTACAGGCAGCATACTCAAAAACAATTGAACACTCTCCAAAAACCACCCCACTAACTGGCAGACAGAGACCCCAGGACTCTGCTGGATGAACTCGATAATCTGGCAAAGATTATTACAATTATCAGTGTTCAGCAGAGACTTACACATATTCTACATTAACATTCGCAAATTGAAAAATGGATGTGTCGGTAGTGCCAAGTGTTCAGTCATAACTCACGGCTAAAGATGGGAGGTGGAGCGATTGCTGATTTAACATTCAAATCCATAATGATGGTTGGGAAGGGGGGAGAATTTGTCTCCTTAGCGATGAAATGATTCCTCCATAAGACCAGGTGATCCCATACTCTTAGGTAATGACTTATAAATGCAGCCAAAGGCAGCAGTGCAAATGGAGGCAGTTTTATATCAGAAGCAAAAAAACTTGCCAAAGTTTATCAAGCGAGCAGAGAGTGCGTCAGACTTGTGTACCCCGAGCAGGTGGAAATCAAATTGAGAGGCAGGATTTACCCATCAACTTTGTTACTCTTTAATTAAATCTCTCAGTTATCATCAAAGTTCGGGAGGAATAACTGATCGCTAGAACCTTGTGCTGAAAACGTCATAACTGCAACTGATAGCAAAACATAATCTGGATTACCATCAGGTGTGTTTGTTTAAGTCATTAACTTTCTCCACCAACACCGGCTCTGGGGTAGTGTTCAAATACTTATTTTATTGGAATGGTATGTCCTGAGCTCCCTTCCTCCCCGATAAAGATCAAAAGTCGGGGATTATATTATCTGGACATGGATAAGGTCGGCCACATTCCAGTCTGTCTGAATGGAATCAGAATGACATAAATTACTTAAAAATAGAGCCTGCCTGTTCTACATCCTTAACCTCGAGCTCCATCCTCACTTTTCTGTCCTCAACGCCATAAGCGTACCGGAAATGTCCAAGAGAGGCTTTGGTCAACGTCAGGCCACGTTAACCCTATATCCTATCCCCTCCCTCTGATGAAGGTGACAAAATACCTGGGACTCTAATGAAACTGGGGACAGATATTTATATATAGTACATAACGCAGCATTTCTAAACAGTTTTGATAAGTTTGGAGTAGTATCAGGGGCCTTACTTTGGCGGGGACTTCACAGATCAGACACACTAACCCCAATTTCTGGTGCAGGGGTTGGGGGTGGGGGGTCATATCACAGAAAACCCTCATTGACAATTTACATAAAAAAAGTGTTGATTCAAGTCATGTTCTCTGTCATCTAAGTAGGAACATTGGACGTCAGCTGCCAAGTAGCCAGGTTAAGGCGCATCTCCTGTCTATAGGCGACACTTCATATACTCTGTCAACGTACGCTCAGAGTACGCACGCTGTGGCCCAGCCACTGGTGCAGATTACCTGCTGTCAGTCACAGGTAAAGAAAAAAGACATCATATGTCATACAATTCAAATTACAGCCTCAAAAAGATGCAATCTTTATTCAATAAAAGTAAATGGGGCCCTGTAGGAGGCTAGATCCGACTTCCTGTGACGACTTTGAACTTGTCACTTTCAGGATGTGATCATTATGAGTGTAATCCATTGATGGAGTTTCGCTGTAACACCTGAGACCTGGCTTAGCAGACCTTCGCTGTCCCTCATCAGCTTAGATCCCAACACATACCTTTCTGTTTTGTATGAACTGATAGGAGAAGAAAGCTGTAGACCTATGTTATCTCTCAGACTGTTTTATACCCTTATCATTATACAACAAGACACCTACAAACTATCAAATCACTAACATCAATAAAACCTATCTTCTACATACCATATAATGGCTGGGCGTCACCCAAATAAAACCAGCAACTTTCAAATTAATTTTCAAATTAACCTCAGTACTAATTAACAAAGGGAGAAGTGCATGGCCCTATTATGTTGACTGTGTATCTCTACAGGCAAGAGATACTGCCTGACAGCTGGTATGTAGTGAGGGGGGAAGAGGAGGGCAAAATGTGTCCTCCAACGGACCAAATCCGTCAAGTGTGACTGTGGATACAGATGAGGGAGCAGACAGAAGTATAGATTTACGTCCAGTAAGAGGACATATCTTACAGTTTGGAATCCAAGAATACAGATTTATGTTGGGGACAAAGTGACCACATCCATCAGCTGGCCACAGCCTTTGGTGCAAAGTACATCCTGGTTCTACACACCTAGGCTGCTGGGTGGGTCACTTCTGTCGGCCAGGAGGGTCAACACAGCTCACAGCTGAGTAAGAATATAAATGTTTTACAATGGCAGACGGCTGTTACTCCCTCTAGAATGCCTTAACACTTGCTCACCTGCACACATTTTAATTATTTAACTTTTAATTGAATAAATGTTAAACACTTAAAAGATTGCCAATTAATTTATTGAACTGTTTTGAATATCCCACACATGACGTCTGATCATCAATGCTTTGATGTCCTTATCCAATCTGACAAATATGACATTATTATAATACTTCACATTACACCGTGTTTTTATTTCCATTATACACTAAACAGTAGATAATCTTTTCATTATTCATGATATTGAATTATATATTAGAAAGGCCTGGGAATACTACTACATTGTTTATACAATACTGATCGCTGCAGTCACAGAAGTTCACTCAGTGTATGTTGTAAGACTTGCAGCCTTCATTCCTCGGGATTTATGGTATTTTGTGGTAAGTGTTAAGTTCTAATTACCACTAATCCCTTAAGTCTTGTGGTCAGGTCCAGAATTAAGGTATTTAGTGTCACAAAGATCATCAACAGTCCAACGTATATTGAACTTGACCGAGATTTAACCAAAAAAACTTGTGTATGAGAAAAGGCTGTATGTTAAATCTCAACAAGGTAACACTATTATTTTTTGTTTTAAAGACATAACCTGTCATTCAGATAAAAATGACAGTATTTTATGTAAAATTATTGAAATCAAACCATCCAGCATAGATATTGATGTGATGGTCCTGCAACGGGACGATTATTGAAAGTACTCAAAGTTGTTTGTAATATAGGGGAGAGGCATGACTATTAAAAGGGGTGTGACACAAGGGTTAAGGGGAGTGGCATGATAATAAAAGGGGTGTGGCACAAGGGCTTAGGGGAGGGCAAGATGATTAAAGGGGTGTGGCACAAGGGCTTAGGGGAGGGCAAGATGATGAAAGGGGTGTGGCATAAGGGCTTAGGGGAGAGGCATGATGATGAAAGGGGGTGGCACAAGGGTTAAGGGCAGTGGCATGATGATAAAAGGGGTGTGGCACAAGGGCTTAGGGGAGAGGCATGATGATGAAAGGGGGTGGCACAAGGGTTAAGGGGAGTGGCATGATGATGAAAGGGGTGTGGCACTAGGGCTTAGGGGAGAGGCATGATGATGAAAGGGGTGTGGCACAAGAGTTAAGGGGAGTGGCATGATTATGTGATTTGAATGTAACAAGTGTTGAACTTACCTGGTCATCAATACTGCAGTATCGTAATGCTGCGGGTGGTTGTCATCATGAATATTATGAGAATATTGCCACTTACAAAACTCTTGTAATGATAGAGCTGCATTTTGATTTATTCTTGGTCCATCCTGAAAATATACAAAAAAGTGACCTTTAGAAATATAACAGTGACCTTTAGAAATATAGCAGTGACCTTAGCTTACTGATATAACAGTGACCATTACAAATATAACAGTGACCTTCACAGATATGACACTGACCTTCACAGATATCAGTGACCTTTAAAAATATAACACTGACCTTTACAGTTATATCAGTGACCTTCACAGATATAACACTGACCTTCACAGATATCAGTGACCTTCACAGATATAACACTGACCTTCACAGATATCAGTGACCTTTACAGTTATATCAGCGACCCTTACAGATATAACACTGACCTTTACAGATATTACACTGACCTTTACAGATATCAGTGACATTTATAGTTATAACACTGACCTTCACAGATATAACACTGACCTTCACAGATATCAGTGACCTTCACAGATATAACACTGACCTTCACAGATATCAGTGACCTTTACAGATATAACACTGACCTTTACAGTTATCAGTGACTTTTACAGATATAACACTGACCTTCACAGATATCAGTGACCTTCACAGATATAACACTGACCTTCACAGATATAACAATGACCTTCACAGATATAACACTGACCTTTACAGTTATATCAGTGACTTTTACAGATATAAGTGACTCAACAGATATAACAGTGGCCTTTACAGATAACACTGACCTTTACAGACAACACTGACCTTTACAGATAACACTGACCTTTACAGATAGTAATGACCTTCACAGATATAACACTGATCTTCACAGATATCAGTGACCTTTACAGTTATATCAGTGACCCTTACAGATATAACACTGACCTTTAAAGATATAACACTGACCTTTACAGATATCAGTGACATTTATAGTTATACAACTGACCTTCACAGATATAACACTGACCTTCACAGATATCCGTGACCTTTACAGATATAACACTGACCTTCACAGATATCAGTGACCTTTAAAGTTATAACACTGACCTTCACAGATATAACACTGACCTTAACAGATAACACTGACCTTTACAGATATTAATGACCTTTACAGATATAACACTGACCTTTACAGTTATATCAGTGACCTATACAGATATCAGTGACCTTTACAGATATATCAGTGACCTATACAGATAACACTGACCTTTACAGTTATCAGTGACTTTTACAGATATATTAGTGACCTTTACAGAAATTACTGACCTTTACAACTAAAAGTTACTTTATAGATATAACAATAATAATGTTACAGTAACTTGAAAACAAAATGCTGAGTTCAGTGTTTCCATTTTTTCACTTAATCTGTGTTTGTAGGCCATGTTTAGATAGAAGAACAGCTGTAATATAAACCCCTGTATCTGCTAGCTGTGGTCCCCACAGCCTCACCACCTAGTCAGATAATGGTCGTCTTCTCGCTGTGTTTTACACAACCCTATTGAAGCTAATTGTATGTACATATGTATATTGGATCTCTGTACCATGTTAATTTGACATCAGCGGACAAGTTGAGAGATATTCCCTCTAGGATCCTTGCCACCTCTGAGCTGAGATATTGTCTATGTTTGCTCTTGTGTTACTTTGTAAATAATAGCCAATAAAAATGAAAATACACCAATCACTTCTCTGGATTATTGTTAAGTGTTGATCGAAATCTGAGAAATTCGGGTGTTGGTATGCCAAATCTCGACTCTCTATCAACCACTGTGAGGAAGCAGATCAGAGCAGCTGTTCGACACAGACCAAAGCAATGCACGATAGCAACATTAATATTGAATCATACTGTATAGACACATAAACTAGATGTCAAACTCAAATCTAGATGTCAAACTCGAAACTAACAAAATTATGAATGTAATACAACATATGATTGCTGGTTTGGTGTTGGCGCTTTGTAAATGCTTACCGGCAGTTTGTATCTCTCATCCCACTATTTATAAATGTTTTTTAGTGAAATAACTTGCTGGTATGTCTACGCCAGCTTATCCACCTGTTCTCGATCTCCCATATAAACACAGGCAAACAACCATACCTGACTCTAATTTTTTCCGATCATTAAACGACTCTTTACCATGTTTTATAGTTATTTCGACATTAACTTTTGTTTTACGTTTTGGTGGTTGACATTATAAAAAACATGCCTACCCCGTTACATACACACTGTGTACTGCATGGCTCAGCAAATGCAGCATGTTACACTGATCAGCATGTTTAGAATGAAAACTGTGTATTCATGACCTAATTTCAACATGTACGATTTTGTCACACTACACACGAAAATTCCCTCTCTCTAATGCCAGGGAAGTCAGTCAATCGGTCGTATATTTTATCACAACATAAAAAGCATTTTGTTGAAGTTATTTCCTGTTGATGTATCGTAGCTACAACAAACTACTGTTTTTGAACACCTACCTTTTGCCAAAAAATTGCTGTTGTTTAAAAATGATATCACAGATCTACTCTGTGAATGAAAAGTGGGGGCAGATGAATGAATGAAAGGAGCTTTCATGTTATTTTTTAAGATAAAAAACACAGAAAAGAAACGTGATGTACTGTCTCAATTTCATTGAAATAAGACAAAAAAAGTTCACGGAGCACAAGTACAAGTTTCTGACTGATTTTTTTTTAGATTAAAAATGTTGTCTATTTGTTTACATACCAGGCAGCCTCCTTGGTGCCACTACCCAGGGACCCCATCTCACCTATCTCAGCCTCCTTGGTGCCAATACCTGGGGGGCCTGTTCTAACCTCTCCCAGCCTCCTTGGTACCACTACCCAGGGACCCCATCTCACCTATCTCAGCCTCCTTGGTGCCAATACCTGGGGGACCTGTTCTAACCTCTCCCAGCCTCCTTGGGACCACTACCCAGGGACCCCATCTCACCTATCTCAGCCTCCTTGGTGCCACTACCCAGGGAACCCATCTCACCTATCTCAGCCTCCTTGGTGCCAATACCTGGGGGGCCTGTTCTAACCTCTCCCAGCCTCCTTGGTACCACGACCCAGGGACCCCATCCCACCTATCTCAGCCTCCTTGGTGCCAATACCTGGGGGACCTGTGCTAACCTCTCCCAGCCACCTTGGTACCACTACCCAGGGACCCCATCTCACCTATCTGAGCCTCCTTGGTGCCAATACCTAGGGGACCTGTTCTAACCTCTCCCAGCCTCCTTGGGACCACTACCCAGGGACCCCATCTCACCTATCTCAGCCTCCTTGGTACCACTACCCAGGGACCCCATCCCACCTATCTCAGCCTCCTTGGTGCCAATCCCTGGGGGACCTGTTCTAACCTCTCCCAGCCTCCTTGGTCCCACTACCCAGGGACCCCATCTCACCTATCTGAGCCTCCTTGGTGCCAATACCTAGGGGACCTGTTCTAACCTCTCCCAGCCTCCTTGGTACCACTACCCAGGGACCCCATCTCACCTATCTGAGCCTCCTTGGTGCCAATACCTAGGGGACCTGTTCTAACCTCTCCCAGCCTCCTTGGTACCACTACCCAGGGGCCCCATCCCACCTATCTCAGCCTCCTTGGTGCCAATACCTGGGGGACCTGTTCTAACCTCTCCCAGCCGTACTCGGCTATTGTAGTTTTATGTGCAACAACTGCTCGAGATAATTTTCCACAGATAGGTAATGCCTTGTAGTACATCGTTTGTGGGGAGGAAGGCTGAAAGCCTGAACAAAACAATGTACATATCTGCGGGATTGATCAATCTACCTTGTAGTAGCTTACCCAGATTAACATGAAAGTTTTGAAACTATTCAACCTATGTGTTGTGAAAAGAATCAAGACAAAGACATGATACAGCTCGCTCTGTGTATAAGGTTATTGATATTTTATTTGAACTCCACTTTGTGTTTTCAACTTCTTTCATACAAACAGAAAAATGGAGTACCTGATGCTGCTGATGGATGGGTATGCCCTCGAGGACCCCTGTCAACAGTTTCTCAATGAACACACTGAACCCTGCCTCCGTTTCTGTCAAACTGTCTCCCAATCTGGAGCTATCTGAAGCCTGTTTTTTATCAAAGTGGTCTTATATGGAACTGATGGCTTGAATGGTATTGATTGGTCGATGTGTCCATTTTTTGTCCAATCACCAATCTGCCCATGATTGATCAGTGTGGAGAGGAAGCTTGGTACACTGGTAAGGGAATGTCCTGTACTTTTCCTGGGGTATTTGGGTGCTGTTTCTCTACATAACAATAACCCTAACCAAGAAATCTGCTGTATCCCCACAAAGCAATCCCCACCAAGAACCTAACCCACGTAGATTATACTTCAGGGATCTAGTATAAGGAAATTACCAATTTAGTAAGAATTATTACTGAACATTCTCAATTCTTACCCATGTAGTTACAGTAACTACAATAAACTCCAGCCTTAAGATCTGAATAAATGTAAAGTACAAAAGGAGATGGGTCATTACTCAAAAATCCATTCAACTTTTTATGAGAATTATTGCTAATGACAAACAAAGTGCATCTGTTTCCTGAGCTTCATCCCTCCCACATCGTTAAGAATTAAGTACTTACAACAAGTAGAGGTGTGAAATCCTCTCAGAACTAGAGTCTGATACTTATACAAAGGATCTGTATTAAAATCTATATTTGGTTCTCCACAACTTCCAAACACTTGTTACCTAAATACCATCACACAACTGACCTGTTGACCACCTGCCTAATACCCTGATCACCCTACCTGTCTGTGTACCCTACTGATATATACTCTATGTGTACCCTACTGATAGATACTCTATGTGTACCCTACTGATATATACTCTATGTGTACCCTACTGATAGATACTCTATGTGTACCCTACTGATAGATACTCTATGTGTACCCTACTGATAGATACTCTATGTGTACCCTACTGATATATACTCTATGTGTACCCTACTGATATATACTCTATGTGTACCCTACTGATATATACTCTATGTGTACCCTACTGATAGATACTCTATGTGTACCCTACTGATAGATACTCTATGTGTACCC